ATTCATAAGGGTTCCTGAGCTGATGGGCGCGCCCGCACGCACGCCACCTTCCGCGAACTGGTCTCCCCAACATGTCTCTCTTTCTCCGGGCACGTTTCTTCCTACTTCCCTGCAGGTCGCCGACGTGGACTGCACCGCGGATGGAAAGTCCAAGTGCCAGGAGTTCAAGGTCCGGAGTTTCCCGACGATTCTCTATGGAGGGAACGGGTGTCGTAAGGCAAGCGGCTGTACGGGCACGACATACAGTCTGAGAAGCGCTTGGTTTGGGTCCAGGGAGTCGCCTAGCCACGATTATCTCCTCTTCCTCCTCCCCCCTCTTCCTCACCTCTGCCTTGTGCCACTGTGACGCAAGCCGTATAGGCTCGAGGCCGCAACCGTTCTGGCTCCGAGCGCGTTGCCGTGAACCCGCGACCACGTTAGGGCCACGATGCGCCGATTGCGGCGTCGAAGGCGCACTTGCACGTGCGTTGTGTTGCTGACGGTTCTTGCCGGAAGTATGTGCAGAGTGTTGTTTTTGGCGGGTTGCAGCAGCCACGAGTCCAGTGGCTTGGACCTCTGGTTGCTGCACGCGGCTCACGACTTCGTGAGTACCTCGCCAGCCTCGAGCTACTTCGACTTGGCCCGTGGATCGGGCATGATCGTCACAGCTAGCACGATTCGTGTGGTGACCTCAGCGTCCCGCCACCTCGCACACGCTCAGAACCTCGTAATTCCCTGTGACGCGCATACCGCGGACGTGTTCGCTCAACGCCTAGGCCGGCGAAGGTGTCTTGCGCCTTGGGCGATGTCGTGCGATTTTGTTCGCCTTTCTTCTTCGACCCGCTCTTGCTCCCGCCGGTGCAAATTTTATGGAGGGCATGCAAGTGAGATCGTGACCTTCATCGTCAAGCGCAAGCTCGTGCGACGCACGTCGCCACTCGCAACGAGTGCACGCTCCTCAAGAGTATGCTCTCGCGATGGCCTTGGCCCGCTTCGCCCACACGAGGCGCCACGGGCAAGCTGTTGCCGCGGACATTCCGACCGTCCGCGGTGGCGGGAGTCTCTTTGCCGCAGTTCGTGTCGCTCGGCGGTCGGAGCAGTCTTCTGCAGGGCTCGAGCGAAACGGTGTTTTGGCAACTTCGTGGACCGTTTTCGTTTTGACCTCGTTCTGCAGCAGATGTGGAACGAAGACAGAACTGGGGATGACGAGAACAAAACGAAAACGGAAAACACTGCTTAACTCGAGCCCTGTTCTTCTGACCGGCGGAGACCTGTCTCCAGAGCAAGTGGTCAGCGAACGACGGGGCGCGGCGGGTGCTCCCTGGGCACACGGGGCGGGGAAGTCGGGAGGGCGGAGCGGCGCGGCCGGAACGCCCTCAGGACGAGGACAGCTCCTCCGCGATGCACCGCAGGGGTCGACCTAGACGGCGTCTGGCCAATCTCGTGGGCCGTTGGCGTTTCGACTCCGTGCTGCAGCAAACGCGGATGGAAGACAAAGCGAGGGAGAGCGAAGGCAGAAAACGAAGAACGAAAAAAAAACATTGTTTAGGGCGATCCTTGATCCACCGTTCAGCCTGGTATCCAGTCAGGCACGGTTGCTCAGATCTTCACCTGTGTGTCCGCGAATCCGCGGGCTGTGTCTCGGCGACGTGCCCCGCTGGAGCGGCCTTCCTACAGAGCGAGGCCCCTCCACCCAAGGTCAAGACCTTCATGGGCGAGTGCAGGCTTCAGCGGATTGCGGCCCGAGTGCGCCCCCCGGGGGTGTAGATGCAGAATGCTGGGTCGGGCATGCCCATCGGTCGTTGAAAGTTGGGAGTTTCTGTATCCCCAGATCCCAGTCTATTTTAAGCGCCTTCCTACCTCAAGAGTCGATCTGCTTTTGCTGCGTTTGTCCTTCTGTGGGAGGGCCTGAACCCAATCTACTTGATCAGCCTTCCTACTTCATGTTTCTACCTACTTCCGACCGATGGGCAACCGTTCCATGTCGTCTCCCTGGGGCCAGGTTGGAAGCCATCGATTCAAGAATGGAGGGTAATCAATTATGATCCCCCCGCCAGAGTCCGAAATCGAATTGCGGCGTTGTTGGGCTCCATTGGAGCCGTGTTGGGACCCTCTTAAGCGATCTTGGAGCCATTTTGAGGCTTCCAAACGCCCGTCGGAAGCGAAAAGGCGAGAAGGCCAAAAACTAATGCTCCGTAGGTTCAGGAAGGTTTGGGATTCTCGAGCGTCCTTGGTCTTGGGGCGGTGTGCGGGGCCTCTTGGAGGCAGACGAAAGGCGATCTAGAGCCGCCTCAGGCTTATCCTGTGGGATATTGGAAACCATGTTGGGCTATGTGGGGTCATCTCAGAGCCATCGTGGGCCCTCCAACGACCTGCGACCGGAGGATTCCAGGCCCAAAAAGAGCGGGCAGAGGTAGAGGTAGATTTTCCCCCAGAAGGGGAAGAAGGAGACTGGAAGAACTAATTCGCTAAACCGCCTCCACCCAAAGGGTTTGTGGGATTCGCTATGTCCCGTGCACTTGCGGATGTCCAAGGAGGGCCCCTCATCACGCGGATGTGCCAGGCAGCTTCGAGAAGCACACGCACGCTCCTCTGTGCGAGCGTGTGGACTCGCGGATCGGACTGGAGCGTTGCTTTGGGGCCCGCCCCAAAAGCTCTCGCGCGTCTTACGATCTCTTAGGGTTCCTACATCTTCCCTGTTCCTCCCTCCCCCCTCCTTCCTCCCTTTAAGCTTCCTCCTCTGTTCCATCCCTCCTCCTCCTCCTCTTCCCTCCCTCCGTTGCCGCATCCGTCCGACACGTGCCGCGACTTCCGGATGTTCGCAACAGGCGAGCCCACCCCATTCCAGGCCGCCGCCCCATGCATCCGCCTCGGAGTGGCCATAGATGAGGACGAATTCCTTTCCTACGCTGGTTTCCTTCTCTCTCCCTCCTTGCCTCCCTCCCTCCCTCCTCCGTTCTCCTCCGTCCATCCCTCTCCGCCTCCCTTCTCCTCCCGACCCCTCTCCCCTCGAACTGCCTGGGGGGCGCAGGGGCTCCCGGCAGCACCCTCCAGAAGTACTCTGGGCCGCGGGGGTTCGACGAGCTGAAGAAGTTCGCGGAGAATCTGGCGGGCGGCGCTGCAGGTAGCCGGGTCGGGGGAGGAGGAGGAAGGGGAGGAGGAGGAAGAAGAAGAGGAAGGGCAGAAGGAGGAGAAGGAAAAGAAGGAGAATTAGTCTTCTTGTGGGGGGCTGTTTCGTGTTAAATGTGAGCTGAATTGGAGGCTTTCTTCGGGCTTCCCCAGAGCTCACTCGGCGCCTCGGTGGCGTGGAGGGGTGCCTCCGCCGAGAGCTGGTGGAGGCAGGCATTTCCCCTTTACTTTATATCATTTGTTTATATATATTTTATGAACATGTGT